GAAACATCAGTGTTATGGGTGCCTCTCTCGCGCCCCCACTGGGGACCTGGCCCACAACCCAGGCATGTGTCCCGACTGGGAATTGAACCAGCGACCCTTTAGTTCACAGGCCAGTGCTCAGTCCACTGAGCCACATCAACCAGGGCTCATCTTATTTTATAATATTGAACATGATGCCTCCAGAGCTACCTAGAGTTCAAGTAATGATATTTTGAACAAGTATATAAAATAAAGCAGATTCTATAGCAAGCCACCAGTTTCATTCTAGGTAGGTAGTTGTCTTCTCTATATTGTCTCCTTCTCTGGATCACATCTGCCCTCCCTCCAAGTCCTTCCCAGATTAACAGATTGTACCCATGATATGGATGGATGTCTGGATCTAAGAATTTATAGAGATGATTGGAAATAATGGTATGTACCAGGATAAGAAATCTTAGCTTCTTGTCAAAAAGTAAACTTTCAGTTTAATCAAGTTATTGGTATTAGAATTTTCTATTAAGTATCTTAATGTTACTTTGCAAACAGAAAAATCTATAATTCCAAGTATAACATTGAGAATGTCCCCTGATCTTGGTCAGCTAAGTCACAAACTCAAGAAAACCAGCCACGTCTCTTAGAATAGTCTTTGCCTTTAGAGTATGAATGTTTTGCTCAAATAAATTTTACTAGAATATTTCTCATCAGACACTTAGTTGGATCAAAAAGTCCTTTTTAATGTTTCTAGTATTAAGAGAGAGGGACTGTTTCCATTCAAAGCATTAGAAGGCCTCGTTGCTGGATTTGTAGATTTATAATTTTGGATTTGTAGATTATAATTTTCATTAAATTTAGAAATGTTTTCAGTTACTTTTTAACAAATTTTTCCTTCCCTCTTTCAAGAAATTCCAGTTGCACATGTATTAGGCTGCCTGAGCTGACTTACAACTCACTGATCAACTAATTATTTATTTTTTTTAAAGATTTTATTTACTTTTAGAGAGAGGGGAAGGCAGAGAGAGAGGGAAACAATGTGAGAAGCATTGATCGGTTGCCTCTCTCACACACCCCAACCAGGAATGGAACCAGTGACCTTTCGCTTTGTGGGATGATGCCCAACCAACTGAGCCACACTGGTCCGGGTGTCAATTCATTTTTTAAATTCTCTATTTTCCAGTGTTCATCTTGGACAGTGTTTATGTTTCTGAGTTTAACTTAAATTTGTTCTGCACTGTCATTAATACCATTCAGTTGTACTTTTTCATCTTCCACATTATAGTTTGTACCTATAATGTTTGACTTGGACCGTATTTTCGATATCTCTATTTTTGGAAAATACGAAGTAGCATAACTGTTTTAATATCCTTACTGCTAATTTTGACCTCTGTCAGGTCTTGGTTTTGATAGGTATTTTTCTCCCTCATTATGAATCAAATTCCTGTTTCTTTGCATGCTGGTACTTTCTTAAAAAAAGATTTTATTGATTTATTATTTTCAGAGAGGGGAAGGGAGGGAGAGAGAGAAGAAACATCAGTGTGTGGTCGCCTCTCGAGCAACCCCCCACTGGGGACCTGGCCCGTAACCCAGGCATGTGCCCTGACTGGGAATCACACCAGTGACCCTTTGGATCGCAGGCCAGCTCAATCCACGGAGTCATGCCAGCCAGGTGCATGCTGATAATTTTTGATTGACAACATGATGATGCTGGGCACAATGAATTGAGTGCCTCATATTTTTTGCATTCCTATAAAAATTCCAGAGCTTTATTCTATAGTGCAGTTACTTGGAAATTTCTATCCTTCTAGGTCTTGCTCTTAACTAAGATTTGTTAGGCAGGCCCAAGAGCAGTGCTCAGTTTAGGGTTAATTATTCCCTATTACTGAGGCAAGACCCATGCACTTCATCCAAACCCCCACGAAGCATGTTTCCCAATCTCACTGGTGGGAATGGGTACTGTTCCCGGCTCCATGTGAGCACCAGACACGTGCCTCTGTCTTTCAGATGGTTTTATCCCATGGTCTTGGGCACTAACCTCACATGCATGTGCTCTCAGAACTCAGCTGAAGACTTGGACGGTATGTGTTGGTCTGTACTCTGCATATTTCATATTTCTGGAGTCCTTTCTTTGTGCAAATCTCTCCAGTCCCTCTGGACTCAGCCTCATTTCCCTAACTTGGGATGCTTCCAGTTCCACCTATTTTACCTCCTTGCATGGTAAGCTGGAAAGTCAAAGCAGTAAGCTTTGCTAGTCCCAAGATTGATCTCATTTTCCCTATAACTGTTCTTTGTTGTCTGTTGTCCAGTATCACAAAATCAAATATGTATATACGGTTTTATATATGTATATTTAAAACTGTGGTTTTTTATACTTTGTTTTTGGTTGTTTCTAGTGAAGATATTTTCCCTGTTATTTCAACTTAGCTGTAAGTGGAAGTCTGAGTTAATATGTTATTTTTAAAAATTTAGTTTCTAACATGGAAAATATTAGCAGATACAACTGTCATAAACAAAAGTTCTTTGGGGTCCTCAGTGATTAAGAATGTTGAGGGGTCTATAGATCAATAAGTTTAAAAACCAATGGTCCACCAGCATTTCCCAGGGTTCAAGATGTTAGTGGTTCTACGGGCAACTAACAGAGTATAAGGCTTTTTCCAAGTTGAAACAGACTTCTCAACCACTGCATCTCAAGATGTTCAGTATGACAGCTGCAGCACCCCCTCCACGTGAGCACGAAGCCACTTTGGAACCAGAGTTCTGCCAGCAGTCCTCCATAAATACATCAAATCCCAAGGGGCTGAAAATACTCCAAATGTATAATTTTTAAAGTAAAAATACGTATTTGCCATGCAGTACTTTAATACCACATTTGGATTACTTTGGTGCTACCCTGTCGATTTACATCCAAACGATGAAAGTGATTTTTCCCAGAACAGAGTCTTCCCAAAGTCAAATTCCCTTTTCCACTCCTGAAATTGCTGGAAGCTAAGTTTACAGTTTTGGAGTTTTGCCATGGCTCCCAATTTAAGGATAATTTAAATTACAAATGGGTGTCTAAGCCGTTTTATCAGACAAATCTCTTTTCTTTTTAAGATTTTATTTATTTATTTTTAGAGAGGGAAGGGAGGGAGAAAGGGAGAGAGAGAAACATCAATGTGCCATTGCTGGGGTTCATGGCCTGCAACCCGGGCATGTGCCCTGACTGGGAATTGAACCTGCGACACTTTGGTTCACAGCCCACGCTCAGTCCACTGAGCTATACCAACCAGGGCCAGACAAATCTCAAGTTACCAGGCACCTGGCAATTTCATTTAGAATATTTTCCTGTAGTGTATCTACAAGCATCTCCAATACAACCTGGGAAACACAGGCTCTGTGGGGAAGTTTAATAATACATACAGGTAATAACAACATTCAGGTAATCTGTTACTGCCCTCAACAACTCCCCTCCCCCAAATTTAGTGGCTGAAAGTGGTGTTTTTGTTCACAGATCTGCACTTGGTCAGGACTCAACAGAAATATCTCCCTGTAGTCCCCCACTGTCAGCTGGGATGGTTCAGATACGGGAATAGAGTAATCTGAAGAGTCACTCCAGGTGTGCTGGTTGGTACAGGTGAGGGGTCAGATCTCAGGCGAGGGGCTCTGGCTATAATGCCTGCATTTGGCTTCCCTATGGAGTTGGGGCTTCTTTAAAACATGGTGGCTGAGTTCTAAGAGTGACCATCCCAAGAGAAAGCAACAGAAGCTGTATTGCTTTTTGTTTTTTTAACCTAGCCTTGTCCATCAAAATCTTTGTTAGTTAAAAACGCCACTAAGGTTAGCCTTTGTCCAAAGGAAAGGGAATTAGACTGCATCTTTTGATAGGAATGTTAAAGAATTCATGGACGGGTCTTAAAATTTCCACATAGAGGAATTACTGCGTAACTCATCATATCAAGCTATCTCTTTTATTGCCAATAAACTAACGTCGCCTGCTTAAAGAAAAGGCTCTCCCACCATGGAACTTGAAGTCCTCAAGGCTACGACATAAATGAGCATGAATCCTTTCACCTGGTACACCCTCAGCTGACTTTCTCCTGCTAAGTTTCTGCTTATCTTTTTATGTCACACATAACACAACTTCTTTAGCTCTTGAAAATAAGCAACATACCGGTAATGTTAAGCTGGCTTTGGAAAAGATCAAGATGTGTTCACAGAGCACATCTGATCAGATCAGATCAGACTGATTCAATTTCACTGAAACACACCAATTTCAGACCTACCCCTGGAAAATAAAAGTTTGGATTAAGCGAGTCTCTGGTAAAGAACAAAAGGTTTCTAAATAATGAAAACATTCCTTACATAGTCTAATACTCCTCATCTCCTGAGCCCACTGCATGAGCCAGGACAATGTAGCATGCTTTGCTACTTGGCAGAATTGGAATGTGGGGGAAAAGCACTCCCGTTTCCAGGGTTTAGTAGAATCTGAAAGGTCACCTTAAGCCTGAGATTTGAAGTTGTCAGCAGGCAGCTGTTCATAATGATCTTCAGGTATAGAGAACCTTTAAGTTTTAACAGTGTGCCCACCCCAGGTCAATGCGCCTCTGTGAGGAGCTTATTGAAAGGGCTACAGCCCTGCCCCTGCTGATTCTGCTGTGGTGGGGCTGAAGTGGGGCCTACGGATCTGCCTTCTAATACTCTCGTGTGATTCTGGTGCAGGATGTCTAGGCACCATTCGTTCTTGAGGAAACTGCTCCAAAAGACAGGAGTAATCACCACACTAAAGAAGACGCCACACAGCTGAAATGGTAGCTCTGAAGAGAGTGAATGCTAGGACTGTTGCTTAGTAACCCTCACTCTTGAGGCACCCTTACCATCTTAAAAGAGAAATCTTTTCCAAGAGCTGTAATGGAAATATTAACCTAGTGAGTCAACTGGATAATGGGGTAAACACTATTCACAAATAAAATGCAGGTAGGGACCCAAAGGGTTTTCCATTCACCTAAATCACAACAGCTCTTCCAAAAGGTTAACTGAGGACACTGAACTCCCAAATCAAGCTGAACTTTTATTTAAAATGTAAAATAAATGGTTCTCGAAAATGATGATGGATAAAGCAAAAGGATACAGTGCTCTCTTCCTACTAGGCAGCCAGCCTATCCAAGTACCGGGCAACATCCGTAGAATTTCACAGTAGTTTAGTGTTAGATTATCTGTGCCTAGATTATGTAGAGACTCAGTGTGCGATTTTGGCTCTGGGTTGACACCTTTACTGAGCGTGAACAAGGGCTCCTGCTCCTTGGCCATAGCCAAATCCCTTGGGCCCAAAGTTCTTTGCATAGCATCCTACAAAAGAAAAGGGAGAGTTACGGCAAGCCCATTGAGCTATTGCTTAAGACCCACCATAAGTTTAAAAACAAAAACTGCTGACTATGCCAAAAAGAGTTCAACTTAACAAAGGTGGAGTAAATATAAAGGCCAATTCCAAGCATTCTGGTTCCACAATGCACATAGTCCCACGGATGTATGAGCTTGAAAATCAGGCCAGACAAGTTAGATGTAACAAGTTGAAAGACTTCATTCTGCAGTATTTGTGTCTATTGATAGGGGTGTTTGAAATAATAAGGAACTTTACTGTGTCAACATAAAGTTGTTCTGTGGTTTTCTGACATGTCTAAGTATCCCTACATCTACTTATTTTTTTTTTAGATCATCTATTCAAACAACCAGTGACACTATCACTCCTTCCCCCCATTTTCAAAGTACTCTGGTTCTTTTTTAAGGTGCTGATGACACTTCCTTAACAAAGAGCCAGCGTGGAATATTCATACAGTTAGCAGGCACTGAAATTAATGTTACCTTTACAATAGATTTCACCTTCTTTCTCAGTCAGAGTTGTGGATTCGAGACTCTTTCCACACTTGGCACATCGGAAACAGTTCTTGTGCCAGGGCTGAAAGAGACAAGTAAGTTTCAGAGGCCAGTTTCCTGCAGTACGAGTTAGATACTGGGGAAGAGCAACTCAAAGTGAGCTCCTGACTGCTGGGGTTCAGCCCCACTCAGCAGGCTGGACCTGTACCTCCCCAGTGTCTACACTGTTGGTTTGAGTTCATACTCCATCCATGGAAGGCAGGGGCTGGGTGCCACGGTGTGGAAGGGCCCTTCGCTAAGAGCAGTTGAGACCTTGTCACAAGCCTGGTGTGCACCTTTAAACACCGCCGCCTTTATGGCTGAGAACGCTGAAGCTCACAGAGGTGAAGTGACTAAGTAACTTCTAAATCCACAAACCAGAATTGAGGCAGGTGTCCTGACAGGTTCACTGCTTTTCTCCCACTACACCAAACACCTGCAGAGTCCAGACTGGTGAACAGCCCGGCCTTTGTAGTTAACAACCTTCTCTCAGATAAGGGCGGCACTTCAAAAAATTAATCATTCAGGTGGAAATGCAATTAAGGAAAAGTTTACTCCAAGGCATTTACTTACAAAACAAAGTGCCTGAGTGGGATGTGGAAGGTTACATGGAGACAGAGTGGGGAGTGGTCATTCACGGTCATCGCTGCCAAACACTGCCCTACCTTTCCTGCCCCAATGATCTTCTCGGCAGCATACACGGAGTCCCCACACCTGGAACACTTCTCGGCACCTCCATATTTCTGAGCAAACTTAGAAGTGTTTGGATTTGTTGTAGGCCTGTGTGGCTGAACACTGGTGGAAAGGAGAAAAAAAATATGTAAGGTTTTCCCAAGGGCCCTTGAAAGTCCATAAAGTAGGCACAGCAGGACTCGGGGACTTCCTGCTGTACCGTGCCGTGGCTGGTGGCCTTGGTGGGCCAGCAGAGGGCAAAAAAGAAAGGAGAATGATCTCAGCTGCTGGCCAGAGTTATTACTTTAACCTATTTATGAGTTCATTATTGTTGCAGAAAGACCTAACTTAAATATCTTTTTTTCAAGCCTAATTTCATCAAATTTCATTACTCCCCAGGACTAGCCTCTCCATGAAAACCATTATGCTATGCTCTGTAAAATCCCATCCTAACACATATTCTTGACCCAGAGTCCTACTAGTACCACTAGAATCACATCTAGCTTTTTACTTTACATGAGATTGAAAAATCAATGTTAAGCAGTTTTTGCATATGGGTCAGTTGACTTAAGTAGCCCATAACTAAGAAAAGTAAGCATGTTTTACAAATTAATTTCCCAATGTAGCTTACATAGGGGAAACTGACTCTACCACTTTCTTTGTGGGAAAACACTTTAGAAAATTTGCCTATTACTATGTGATCTATTTATCTTTACTTTTGTCTCTTGAGTGGTATTTTTGTCACTATTATAGGTCACTGGGTAAACTATATTTTCCTTGCTTTCTAATTTTTTTCTATTCAGTGTTAGTGTGCCTACTATGCAGAACACATTCTGGGCTTGGAGAAGATTTAAAGGCCCTTCTAGAACCTTAAAAACTAGTTGAGCAGATAAGATATAATAACAATAGTTAGCATCTAGCAAATGGTAACAAGTATCAATTTTTCATACTGGAAAAATACAGTATAATATTTTTTAAAAATTATATCCTCATCTAAGGATATTATATTTTCATCACTTTTAAAGAAAAAGGGAGAGACAGAAACATTGATATGAGAGAGAGAAACATCAACTGGTTGCCTCCCGTACACACCCACACTAGGGATCACACATGCCTGGACCAGGGATTGAATGCACAACCTAGGTATGGACCCTGACTGGGAATTGAACCCACAACCTTTTGGGTTACAGGACACCACTCCAACCAACTGAGCCACACCAGCCAGGGCACAGCATTTTTTTAAATCACGTTTGATGTGGCCACTGGAAATTTTATTCTAAGGAACAAATACCAATTCACAGTATGAACACAGTACTGGTTTCTCCAATTGTCCCTAGAGAGGCATACTTTTAAAAATGTTTCCACAACCTGATGTATATATACTTACCTTTAAAAGTGATCTTTAAAAGCTGTTTACAAAGATACCAACACTTCCAGTTATGAGTTGTTTTCCAAATCTGTCAATCATTACATTAACAAGAACTTCATATAGACTATCTCCCACCTGCCTTCTAACAACTTCATAGGTTCAGGATAATTGTTACCCCAAAATACAGATGAAAAAATGGGGGCTTAGATGTTGAGTAACTTCCTGAAAGGCTAAGGGGTCAGCAAACTGGTGGGCCTGAATGAAGACCGCATGTGGGCCTCAGCGCTTCTGCCCACCCAGTGCTGCATCCCTGCAAGAGCCTTGGGAAGGCTTTCGGTCCCGACTGTTGCAATTACCACCTGCCACAAGGGGGAGCCAGACTGCAGGTGCTCCCAGGCCTCAGTAATTCAGAAGGCTTCTTGGGAAAGGTAGTCTACCTGGTCCTGAAGGGTAAGTAAGCATGTGGCCAGGCTAAGAAGGGGAAGAGGTGAAGCAGCAGTAGAGACAGGTCAACACAGGGGGCTCGCCAGTTGTTGAAGATGGGGGAGCAGGAGGAAAGAGGAAGGTCCACTGGTCTCTGCGACTAAAACCACGGCCACCGCCTTTTGACCCCTCACTTTTGGGGTCACGGGTGAATTTAGTTTTGTTTGGGGGAGGGTATACAAGTGTGAAGGTTTGAAAGGTTTGAAAATAAGATCTTGGGAAATGACTGGATTCTAACAAGTTGGAAAAGGAGAGCAGAACAAGAACAATGAATTGTAACAAAGCAAGTCAGCCAGGCTCCTGGCAGTGATGGAGTGCAACAATGAATGAGTCAGCCCTTGCACAACTGAGTGTGGAGAAAACCCAGTAACAGAAAGGTGGGCCTTGATGTAGTACACAGTGCAGCACTGGTTTGGGAGCCAAATGGACATGGGTTCAAGTCCAGGCTCTGCCACTTACTGCTGTGACTTGAGCCTTAATGTCCTATGTATAAAATAGGGTCAAAGTATCTAAACTCAGTGACTGTGAGAATTAAATATAATGAACATAAATGTTCAGCAGACAACAGGCACTCAATAATTTGGGTCATGCCATAATGGACTGTGTTTAAGATCTTAAGGTTTGGCGTTACACTAGGTTAAGTTCCAGTCTCTATAATTATCTACCATTAATTAGCAGTGTGACTTCAGGCAAACCACCTCATTCCCATTGTCTCACTTTGTTCCTGAGAGAGACGGGAAGCCCCACCTTGCAGGGCTGTTGCAAGGATCACGCGAGCCAGCATGTGTTACTGCTGTATGGTGTCCAGCCGCACAGGAAGGGCCGGCTAATGGTCTTGTCTGGGAAAAGGCCATCTGATTGTAACGTTAACCAATTTTGGCCTCTTTGATATAAAATGGATGTGGAAAATGTGAAGTTCAAATGAGGGAATAACTGGGTCAAAAATAGAAATAAGAGGACATCCCCAATAAAGCAATGAGGTAGCCTGATCAGGGAATACTAAGTAAAGTTTAGCTGATTTGGCACCTTGCTACCTTGGTTACTGAAACCTTTAAAGTTTAAGACTATTGTCTCAAAGATTAAAAGACAGGAAAAAAAGTTCCATTTTTAAGAAATTTTAAGTTAGGGCAAAGTAGTTGCCTGATGAGGAAATGTTTCTTACACAGGAGGAGTGACGGAGGAATTTTTATTGACTGCTCGGCCGCACATGAGAAATGTATCTCATGACTCACATACCTCATTTCTTTATTATTTGCCTTCATGACATCTGGTGTCCAATGTGCTGTGAAATGGAAGTAAATTTAAACCACGTGACTTCGAGGACATCGAGACTGCTTGATGCACTTTGCAATGCTCTCAAACTGGCACTAGAAGTCACTTGGATAATCACTAAGAACTTTGTTAGGTCCCAAACTGTCAATGTTTTAGGTCAAAGAATAGTCACTAGTTTATACTAGAAAACCTGAGTCACTTGATTTATTTTCAGATAAAATTCTGAGAACTCCCCGATTCCTGTTCGCCAAGCACCATTAATTGTTACAACTCATTTCTGCAGGTAACAAGCATGGTCCTAACTCACCTCTCCGGCTTGATGCCCAGCCTCTCACCCCGATCCATATTGAGTGTGCCGGCGCCCTGGCCGTAGCCGTAGCCTTTTGGCCCATACTTCTTTCCGTAGCAGGATTTGCAGTAGATCTCTTCATCATGAATAGCCACTGTTGTGCTATCTAAATTTTTCCTGCAAACCACTAAGGGGCAGAAAGTTAGAATTTAAAGATGGGCCAAAGACACTTTTCCCTGGGAACAATGGTGGCAGAGACACATGGTCAACAAATGGCAAAGGCACGGGCTCGCTCACATTCCTAGTTTATTCTGTGGTTTCCCCAAAGCCATGAGGCAGCATCTGGCCTGGTCAGCTACATCGGAGGACTGTCTGCCTTCCTCCATACCAACGGTATGACCGTTGTTTCAGGAATGCATCAGAATTTTAACATCCTAAAGCCTCGAACTTCTCAGTATGATTCGCCTTTCTAGCAGGGGGAGAGAAGTCTGAGATGGCTATAATGACCCTAACAAAAGGAACAAAACGAACACTGCGCTCCCAAACCCACAACACTCAAGTCTTTCCAGCCTCTTCTTACAGAAGGCTGTTAACTCAGAACCTAACAAACAACAAAAACGTGCTGACTGCCTGGGGAGAGTCGCCTCTGTAGTCGCGCCTCCCTGAAAGCACCCCTGGGAGAAAAACCGCGTTCCATCCAGAATCCTAGTTTTCATCACCAGTCTCGAAGACAAAAAAGTATTACTTTTTCAGCTCGCCGCCGCCGGCTCCCCCAGCAGTGAGAGGTTTGTCTGCAGATCAAGTGGTTTCAAGTCTGCATTTGTTTTCCCTTAGGTCCTAAAGGAGAACGCAATCTTTCTGGATGGGTTTCTTGCCACAAGACATTTCTATGTACTCCAGTTCACAAAACTGCCAAGTGTCATGTTTATTCCAGACATTATTTCACTTTCTAAAACTTCAATTAAGCTTGAGGAAAAAAGAGACTGTGAGGGAGCTCTTTGGTAGCACAATCGGGCAGCTGAATCCGGCAGCTGGAGCTCCACCATCAGTGTAGGAGAAAAAGGGGTCTCCGCCTCTTCTTTGAAACAGGAGAAACGAAAAGAGGAAAAGAAAGAGGCCAGGAAAGGCGACTGATCAGATGGCTGAAAATAGAGATAAATTATGAACTCTCTATTATCTTAGACCAAGATACTAGAACAAAATGACATCACCTTCTCTGGAACCTTGCCGCACTGACTCAAGTACTGACCATACATTTGCTTCAAGAGATAGTTCAACACCACACACTGCTGAAGAGCAAACACACTTCACAGACTTTAAATATAAATTCGTATATGAGCTGTTTTGAAAAACAACTATAACCAAGGCAAGTTATGCATATGAAAATTTTATTACATAACTACCCCTCCTTCTCCCAGTCCTCACCCCTATTCCAAATAGTCCAGTTATTTCCTTAAAAGGCTTTAGTCAACAGAGACAAATATTAGAAAGCATAATAAAAAGGACCAGTAAAAAATCCTAACATTTCATAAACACTGACTTTATTATGGTATAAACATCATGGCTTAACCTAGATGAAACTAAGAACAATTTCTAAAGTATTTGCATTTCCTCTGTGTTCACATACTCTTAACTACAAACCTGCTGAAAAAGATTTCTAAAAAAATATAAAAAAAATAAAAAAATAACCTCTAAGAGAAGGAATAGTTAAGCCAAATCTGAGAAATGGTATCTACCGTGGAGGCTACTAGCAAACATTCATAGGTTGTCTTTTTATTCTTTGTTACTGTGGCTTTCTGTTGTGTTTCTAGTTCTCTGCAGAGCAGTTACACCATAAAAAGGCTCAGACACCTCGAATACTGGCGCCTGGAAGGCAAAGGGCAACAAAAACTTGAGACATTTTCTCCAGAAATTATTCCATAGTGTAACCAAGTTTATTTTTAACGGTACTGTTCACTGTGCAGTGCTCTAGGTAAAGCAAATAACTGCACAAATAACTGCACAGATCTAGGTATATTTGTTCTCACGTAACAAATCCTTCGTAAAAGACAATTTTGTTATTTAAATCAGAAGATGATTAACGCAGACCTTTCTGATGAGACTGCTCTCCTGTTTTAAAATGGAAGACTAGGAGGGAACGCACAGCAGAGAGGGGGCTTAACTCTAATCCTGTCTCTCCATCACCAGGTGTTTACTCTTTCGAGTAAGGAGGCCTGCATCGTTTTATGTCCCATTTCCTAAGTCAGACACTCTGACAATTTCCCATCTAGAAACAACAGTAATGTTCTATGGGATTTTCATATTCTAAGTTCCTTTCCCTTAAATGTAGGATGTCAATAACCAGAAATAACTCTGAATATTTGCTACCAGAGAGAACAGAATGTGAGCTTCTAGAGAAATGGAGCTTCTTGACATTTGAATTTCTACTAATAGTGCAGTGAGAAGCCAGTCAGTTTCAAAGCAAAGGAGCTCAGCCAGAAGGAGAAAGCTGGGCTGGGTGAGGAGCCACGCGTTCCCTCGGAAACGGAGCCAAGCCCCCGACCCTGTGCCAGGAGCTGTGTATGGTGCCAGACTACAAACGACACTGAACTCTCAGGGGACAAAGCAGACGTGGTAACAAATGAGGTGAGTCAAGGCCAAATGGAGGCTCAGGGCTGTGAGGACCCAGGAAGGCCAAATATCTTGGGTCCCCCTGCTGTTCGAGCTGCTAGGCTGAGCACTTACAAGGTCCAGGAGAGCTAAAGAGGAAAAACCACTTGTGCTTCTTAAATAATCTTTATTCACAAAACCACAGGTTTTTTCCTAAAGTAAGTAGACTACACATAAAGTGTCCCAGGCCGAGTCCTGGGAGATACTTACTGCACAGGAAGCAGCAGCGGTGGAAGCTCCTGCCATCACATTGCACCTCTTCCGCGTGGTACACGGTCCGCCCGCAGGCCCCACATTTGTTTCCACCTCCCCAGACGGGCATTCTGGAGGAATAAAAGGTTCATTAGAATGTCCCCATACCCTATGAGATGTCTCACAAGCTCCCTAGGGGGCTGTTTAACCCAGGAATCATGGAATATTTTGTTTCTCTATGAAGCACTCTAACCACATCTTTAAAAAGCCTGCATGCCTCCAAAATTACCCCATCTCCTCTCCCAAATTACAGGTCTTTCATTAGAAAGCTCTGGCTTGTCATGCACATTTTTTTTTTCTCTTTGTCCTACAGGACAAAGGACCTGCATTCACTAGAATAGTTTGGGACGCCAGGCACAAAACAAACTATGCCACTGGAATCCACAAAAGTTAAAGGTGGGGAGTGGAAAGGCAAACACCACCCCCAAGCATGCCCTGCCATAATGAACGGTTTTAGGAAACTCAGCTAAAGAACTTACACTTGGGTGGGGTTTTTCATTACATGTTTAATTCATTATAACACTATGAAATTCTGAACATTTTACACAAGTTATGACACACTTTCTAAGGAGGAAGAAAATGTTGTATTGTCCTGCAAAAACACATTTTGTATTTGTCTGCTCAAGTTATGGGAGATTATAGCATAAAGAGCCATGCCCCTGACCGGCACAACTGCACGCTCGGAGCCTGGCGTGTTAACCACAACAAACGCCCACCCAGATGGCTATAATTTGAGTTTCTGTGCTTCACTCATCCCAAGGTCCTCCAGTCCAGCCAACAGTTAATCTCTCCTCTGGCATGAGGCTGTCAGTCCACACAGAACAGGCTACCAAGTCCCCTTCCCAGCAAAGTGAGGTGTCTGTTGGGTGTGTCAGAGTGAGCTCTGAGCAATGGCACCTGAAGCGGTGTTAGAGCTGGAAGTTTTTAAATCCTCAGCTTTCTCTCTCGCTGTGATGTAGGGCCAACGTGTTCTAATTTCCTTCTCAATGAACATGTCTACCTGGCCCCCATTTAAATGCTTAGCTCTGAATGGCCAACAGACTCACGTGCCCACACCAGTACAGAAAGCTTCCAGCAAGGACATGTCTGCCCTGGTTGGAGCCTCAGAACACAGCAAAAGAATTCCTTTCTATCCTACTGTCATTCTCAGACTTCCCTTCTGCGGCTGGTGTTTGCAGCTGCTCCCTGTCAAGTCTCAGGTGAACTGCTGGCTTCCCTAGGCACTAGCTGGTTAAGAAAGCCGAAATCTCCTTCCTAAGTCAAACTTGGCTAGAAAAAGAAGGGAAAGGAGGGCTGCTAAGCAAAACACTGAGGAGTCTTCAGTCCTTAAAGTAAACAGGGGGGTAGTAAATTCCCACTCCTGCAACATTGAGATGATACAGAACCCATCGACTCTGAACACCGACCGCCCTGAGGCCTTCCCAAAAGAAAAACTTAGAGTAAACCATTGTGTTGGGCGTCTTTCTGGCACCCAGCATGCATTCTGTTGTGCCTTTTCTGGTAATACTTTCCCCAGATTCTCTTCAGGGAAGCAACCATCTCTTCCTTGGTCCTGCTGGTTCAGAAAAATACCAATTCAAGAAAAAATTCATGTTAGCCTTTCTAGACTTTTATGCAACGCATGCTATAACAAGAGCATGATCAGTGAACTCATCTTGGTGAACAAGTGTAGAGTCACAGAATTAATCAGGACTTGGAAATGAAACAAAAGGCCTTTCCATCCTTTATCACAGGTAGTTTGAGGAGCATTGGTAGGAACAGTACTGACTCCACCGTCACTCCAGGGCCGGGCATGCGACTCAATCATGGCAGTCAGATCGCGGGTGACAAGTTTAGGAACCAATGCATGACCCGCACCAAGTCGGTGCAAGTTAAATCCAGGGCTTTGGTGTAGAGCTGGGTGGATGCAGGGGTGGGGTTGCTAGCAGCTGTCTAGCCACCATAAGAAAAGAGGCTAAGAATGAAGCCAGCACAGAGGAAAACAGAGATGGAGAGACCAGATGCAGACACTTCATAGCCTGCCTCGTCTTATCCTGTACTCTCAGGTAAGCCAATAAATTCTCTTTGTAAGTCATTTGGAGATGAAGCTCCTGTTTCTTGAAACAAACAACAATAATACACATACTCACACAAGGAGACCTGACTGATATGACTAGTTATCACCAAACTATCAGTTTCAGCTCCCCAAAAGTCTACTCCCCTTATTCAGGCAGGAACAAAGTAATTCCAAGGGTCCACAAGTGTTTGTTACCAGGCTACTGTGAAGGCATCCATACAGGATCAATATCTTGCAACAACAGAACATATTTACCAGCTTTCCTTTAGGAGTTGTGTAAATCTCTCATTCCCTCCCCTGGAGACAGGTGCTCCATTGTTTAAACACACAATGAAACCTGAGCCTGGCTGTACAACCTGACACAAAACCTGGCTCCCGCAGCCTGCACTGGCCCAAGTTTAGACTGCACTTGGCGGTATTGACTTTGCCCCTTGGTTCCAAAGCTGCCTGTGTTCTGGAACGCTCCAGTGGGCAACAGACATCTGGGAGCAGCACCCTCGTGATTCCGGGGTAAACCAAAAACCAGATCCAGGCTTGCACGTAATGACATTACAATATCTTAAAATCAGATCCCCAGAATTAATAGCCCAGCTGGCTTTTAAACTATTTTGTTTCTGTCTAGTCATTTATCATCATACTAGAAAGTGCACTGTCCACTATCGACCTGTCATCTTCCACTTTCACACATATTTTCTTTGGAGCAATCACCAAGAATAACTCAGATTTCCATCAGAGGTAACACTATCCTGGGGGTTGTCTCTGAATGACATTTAAAAATACATTTTTAAAAACCGAACATCACTTTGCTATTCTCTCTCGAGCAGCTTGGACTCTTTATGTAAATTTACTTCTTGCATGTCAAGTCTAATTCCTATTGTACATCCACAGGAGCCAAATGTGAATGTGTCATCTTTTCAGGAAATACCCATCAAAGTTCTCCAGCATTCAGCTTACTATGTAATAAGCTTCCTCCCCTCGGGAGTGCAGACCACATCTCTGTACTCCCCACCCCACCTACCAGAGTACTTGGCATATATCGAAATATTTCATGCCCATCATTTTAAAGAATCCTGCCTCTTTCAACCCATTGGTATGATTCCCAATTAGATCTTATGCCTCTCGAGACAGAGGCAGCATTGCTCTACTTCTGTCACTTTTTTGGAGTCTAAGTAAAATTTTCAAGTCATTAACTTTTTTAAAGTCCCATCCAGTTTAACAGCTTTCCTAAAGATTTCTGAATAACCCTCTCTGTGGTCCTGGAAAATGGTGTAACAGAAGGAGTGTCCTTAGAAAGCTTCAGCTCGACTTGTTTTATTCTCTAAGCTGAACAGTGGGTAGTTGAGTGTTCCTTATAGTCCCTATTTTGTATGTCTGAAATATTTCCCAATGGATAAAAGGGAAAGAAAGGAGGGAGGGCAGGGAGAGGTTGGTTTACACAGACCTGGGTTAACTTCACCATTATAATGGTTGTATAGCCTTGGGCTTATCTGTAATGTAGTTCAGTTTCTCATCTGTGAAACAGGGATCTGAAGCGCTCTCTCTCTCTCTCTCTCTCTCTCTCTCTCCCTCTCTCAGATACTGTGAAGACAAAATGAGATAAATGCCTTGGTAGACCTAAAGGGGCTGTTAGCTTGAAGGAGGAGGGAGAATCTCATACTGTCCTCCCTGTTCTCAGTACCCCAGCAGGAAAACCCACAGACCAGCACCCATCCAACAGAGCTCACAGCCACAAACAGGGTAAAGAAAAAGCTTAGCTGTTTAGTCACTCATAAACCTTCCTTTCCTGGGACATTGAAACAAATTGCAAGTATAATAATAGTTCCACCAGCGGTGAGTGTCTAAGCAATGACGTCCCATTTACACTTGGGGGGCAAACTCCTGTGGACATGTCCTGCGCTTGGTCGGGGGAGGTGCGATCATCTTCCCTTATGTCACCCGCTGGCATTGCTGTGCACACAAGGAAACCCGAGGCTTCATTTTTCACACACGCATTTGGCCGTACAACTTTACAACAGCCGACATTAATCACAGCAAACTGGATTTGCACTGAGCAATCTGGGCTGCGTGCCTCTCCCTAATCCTACATAGGATTAATTTACAGAATGGTAAGAGGAGAAATAAAATCCTACTTTACACACTTTTTGCACAAGTTGGCTGAACAGGCTTATTCTGTTGCTTGGTCTCGGTTTTTGGTTTCCAGTGTCTGAAAGTTTCAGCACTAGGACTCACCCACTGTGTTAGAAAAGCTTGTTGACACCGGAATACTACATGCAATTTCTGTTTGCTGCTTCTCCTCAGTCTAAGAAACAATCCAAAATTCCTAAGACCTACCCCCAGAAGAAAATTACTATTGTCTAACTCTGAGTCACCTTGTGGTATAATTACCTCATTCTCTAGATAACCAACAAGAGCCACAAAATGAGCACATGAATTGCTCATACCACCTGTGGCATTTACCATTTTATTTTAGAATCTGAATGACTTGAAACCATGAATTTTGAGTCTACATGTCACCACTTTTAGTTTGTTATTTGTTCTAATACCAAAGGTTTGGAACGAGTCTATCAATATCCCCACATTCTAAATGATTCCAGAAGCTCTGACATGGTATTACCACATGCATAGCTTCGTTATTACACTAGAATGTGGTTATAATCCAATTTCCCCAAAAAAGAGAATTTATTATACATCAGTTTCATCTTTAGCCACATCCAGAGGGGTCACTGGCTAAAGAATATAAATTAGTAGCATTGTCCCCAGTTACAATAATTTTTAACAAGGCCAGAGTTTAAAAGCTGTCAGTAATTGGAAATAAAGCTTTAGTCAATGACCATTCTAAAAATTGTGTCTTCTGCTACCCGAATTACCTTAACCTTCTTCCTTTATGTAAGCGAATACCACGAACAGAGGACAGACCCCTGTGTCTCAGTGATTGGCTCCACATGTCCTTTGACCCCTTCTACCAGAGCCAAACCCTCCTGCTGGCCCTGCAGATTTTCAGCCTAGGGGGTGAATTAGAGAGCATGGATTTGGGAATCAACATAGTCTCATTTCCCTCTTATGTAAAATGAGGATAACAGTACCTTTCTTACAGAGTTGTTAAGAGAATGAGCTGAGGAATGCTTATAGTAGGCATTATTGGTAGTCTCTATCATCAATATTTAGCAAAGTTCAATCCTTGTTGTCAATACCCATGTTCTTTTACCCATCTTATGTACCCATTCACCCTTAATGCCCCTAACCCCTCCCATCAGGGCAACTGACCCCTCTCCCTCTCTCACCCAGCCAACTCCTAACTTCATTTCTGTATCTCAGGTCATTGATCTAGGGTTGGGACAGCTAATACACACTGTATAATGCTCTACTGTTTATGACATATATAAATGTATTAATTCAACCTTTTATAAGCCATATCCTGGGTCAGGAATTGAAGATAAAAGGGTTATCATGAAGTGCGCCCGTTTCTCAGGGATTTTGACCATGGGGGTGGAAATATTCACACAAATGACAGCAATACAACATCAGCAATGACACAGAGGCATGTGGAAAGGGCTCTGTAAAGTCTGCGTGGGCTGCTTCTACAGGGATGGCAATGTGGTTTTGTCTTGTAGCTCCACTGGAAGGAGGTTCCTGGAACTGTGTTGACAAAGATTCTGAAGTTCAGTCAAGGTTCCACATTGGAGATTATTGCAATTAATAATGCCTGCCAGGGAAACTGCAGTGCACATGCCACCTCCTACACACTTCTGGCAAGGAGAAAGAGTGTGGAACTCGGAGTGAAAGTCAATTAGCAGCTGGGCGATCCTGGCCAAACTCCTTAACCTCGGAGCCTCGACTTCCTCAGCTTTAACATGAAAACTAATGAGAACACTCTCAGAGGGTGGCTGGGAGGATTTAACAAGATACTGTTCATGAAGTACCTGGCAAAGAGCCTGTACCCCACAAATGCTGGTTTCCTTTTCCTTCACAAGTACTATTGGGCCTAAATGTGGCAACGAAAAGTTCAGTGGTGAAGTGACTTGCTGAGGTCACCGACCCCCAAAGAAGCAAATCCAGGCTCAATCCACGCTTGTTTGATTCCAGGTCCTTAAACTGTCCCCAAAACTCCCATTTCTGATTTAAGGGTTGAGACAATTCAAGTCACCCAAAAATGATCAGTCCTGTGGTACCAATTACCTGCCCATAGGAACACCTTCTCCTCTACCCAGTCTTCCTCCTCACCATTCATTACTAATTCTATAGCCTGTTGTGACTTACATCTTCAGCTCAGACTACAGCAATATCCTTGACAGAGATTTGGATACTACCTACCAAATCACATTGTAATTAGAATGCAACTGTGCTATAAACTTAGTTACCCTGACCTCCAACATCCGCCATAGCAATTCACAACTGGTGCCAACTGTAATACATCTAATTATTCAAATTTAATGTCTGTAATATTTACACATGAAGTCAGACCAAGATTTGTCAAGAATACTGTTTATCTTTCAAATGATCTTAGGTTGATTATTTATTTGATCTGCTAGTTTTCTCATTTCAAAAATGGAGATAATGGGGGGAATGCGAGTGGGAGGGGGTGTGCAGGAGGAGGAGAGTAAAGGGGGGAAATGGGACAACTGTAATAGCCTAATCAGTAAATTAAAAAAATAAATAAGAAATGAATAAAGTCTTTTAAAAAATAAAAAATGGAGATGATGCTTATTATTATCACAAAGCAGTTCTAACATTAAGCAATATATGTAAAACACTTAGAATATTGCCTGCACATGATAGGTAAAAATAATTACTACATTATTATTTACTTATTATACACTATTATTTACTTCTATAAAGCTTACTATATGCTTTACTTATGCTAAGTAGTTTACTGAGAATAAGTTAATCCTCTAACAACTGAGGCAGGCACTATCATCATCCCCATTTTATAGGTGGGGAAGCTGAGGTATGGAGATATCGAGTGGCTCATAACTGTGAAACCAAAACAAAAGGATCAATTCAGCCTAAAAATTAGTATCAATAAAATTCCTCCTTGAGTTTATTTGAATGATGTTTCTCTAAGACTAAACTACTGGTAGCTACACAAATACAGTACTGATTTATATGGCTCTAGAACCGGCTGTTTTGAAATTCTGTATTTCCTGTACTGCTATGTGCTGGATAAAGATTCAGTTCTCTCTTCACTTTTTTCTTTTGGGCAAGAAGCTATCATGAAACCTTCTTTCTTACAGTGAACTGGCCCTAATGCATTACATGGTTCTGTGTCTCTTATGAGTCCAGGACAATTGGTGGCACTGTTGGTAATGAGATGGTAAGCAAAATCACAAGGGACCTGATATCCTTCGCAAATGACTCACAGTATACTTGTACTGGTTCTTCCTCTATGACTTACACTAAAAGTTAAAGTTATTAACAATCAGAACTTGATCCCAGCTCCTCCACAACCCAGTTTGAGAAAACTCCCCCAAGCCAGGGTTCTGAGCCTGGGGGTCCACACAATCCTTGAAATTCTGGGGATCAGTGAACATGGTACCATGTACTGTATTTTATGTACTTAACATTTTGAGAAGGGGTCCAGAGGTTTCACCAGAGTGCCAGAAAGGTCCATGACACAGAAACAGGTAGTACCATCCCGGTGATCAAGGTCCCAGGGGAGTCCAGGGATTTTCCCCACCCAACAGGACAAAAGGGAGTCCAAGGAAATACCAGACCAGGAAATGGTGGAAACCTGTTGAATGTCTGCTTAGGGAAGAGAGCTGGCCCCTGGGCAAGGCCTAGAGATAATGTTCACAGCTGGAAGAGACCTTCACTGATAGCCTTTTCCACAGATTCCCAAAATGTAGAACTGTGTCTAATTATAGGGAACCTCTCCAGGCTGGGCTGGGCTTTACAACCCTGCAAGGTACGTGATATCATACATACTTTACAAGATAAAGTAACTGAGGTCAGAAGATAACTTGCCCAAGGTCATCAAACCAATGGATGCTAGAGGGCCCAACTGGCTTCAGCGCTGCCAGTTGGGCAGTTTAATCAGGACGTAGACTCCACTAAGTACTGCTTCCAGCACAGTACTTGGCAGGTAACAGTGTCAACCAATATTTGTTGAATATATTTAGAGGAATTCACTAAAAAACTTATGCTAGAAACCTTAGATAAAATCTGCTAATGCACGTATTGCTTGAGTGCAACTAAATCTTTGTTCACAACAACTGCAACCTTACTCCTTCCTTCCTTCATTCGTTCATTCATTCAATTAACCAACCAACAATGGCTCTGCTTAAACTGCTTAAGGCACCCAATCAAGTGCAGTGAGTTTCAAGGATTCATGGGATGCAGATCCTGTCTCCATCTAATTTCACCCTGAAAGAGCAAAACAAATGAGAACCCAGAGTAGAGGGGAACCTTGAGCAGTATAGATAAACATATCAGTAGGAATCAACTGGGAGGAGCAATGACCAAGAAGATACTGGAGGGAGACCATGGGGGATTTGATAAAATTGGTTCGAGTTTGGTAAGCAGCTTTGAAATTTTGTAAGACTCTCCCTTTTAGAATATTGCTTATCTCTTTCCTGAAAAATGTGAGGCAAATTATAGCCAACTTTGTGATTGCTGTATTTGAGTTCTTGGCGTTTTATATAGGTAGAGCTTTAAAACAGGTGAATTAGAAAAGAGCTAAAGGGACCATTCTTACTCTCCAAATATAAGGTTACCCCAAATAAAAAGCATTTATAAAATGAAAATGTACTTTGCCGACTGCAAATAAAACAGGTTAAACATTTTTGGCTAACCATTTAAACAAATACTGTTCACCAAACGTCCTAGCTTGGGAGCGGGTGGAGGCGGGTGTCTCCGGACTCCACCGGGGCTGCCTACGTGGAGCTTTGAAACCCACGATGTGATTTTCAAGGACCTGTTGCAGAATTTCGCAGCCAAGAATTTTTACTTTCCTGTTTGTTCCTAAATAGCAGAAATTTCCGGGGAAAGTTGGGAGCTTTCTATCTGACGTTTCACTGCTGTTCCTTTTCAGGTTTGAGGCACAGTGGGCAAAGACCACGGAACAATGGGATGCCGGAGCTTTTTACCACAGCAGGGGAAGGATTCTGGGCTACGCCGGTTGTAGAAGCCCCCCCCCCCCCATCCCCAGGGGTCCAAAGCAGCCCCCGGGAAGTTCACCCTCAACGGCACTACACTCGGACCCCGCCCTCCCCTCCTTGGAGACAGAACCCGCTGGGGAAGGAGGGGTCCCAGGGCTACTAAAAAAAGGCTGATTAGCAGCCACGCGATACTCGACCCCGCCTCTCTCTCTCTTTCGGAAAACCTGTAGGGACACACAGATATGGAGGTAGTGCACTTTTATTTATCTGCCCCGGGAGCCCAGGATCCGAGGGCAAAGCCAAGGCGGCTGGAAGGGCGCGGGTGTGAGAAGGGGGATGGGGAGGGTCAGAGAGCAGAGGTGAGTTGAATGGTTGGGGGTGTGAATGGGAACCGCGATGGGGATGTCAGAGTAGATGCGAGGGGTGGGGGGCGGCTGGTGGAATCCTCCTCCCCCAGGTCCCCCGAGACGCCCCCACCGACGCTACTCACTTGAGCCAGAGGCAGGACCACGCACCGCGGACAGGGCTAGCTAGCCAAGCAGAGTAAGTGGAAGTGAGCGAGGAGTCCTGGAGCAGTGGCCCCCCGAGTGCCGGCACCTTTAAAAGATGCTCTGATGGGCGGGGTCTGTGTGAGCCCCGCCCTCACCCTGCGGCGCCCGGCCCTGGTAAGCCCCACGGATTCCCGCACCGGCTCAGCCCGCTGGGGGCGTCTGGCAGGAGGTGGGGCGTCTGCGCTGCAGGGCTCAGAGCTTAAGGACCGAGAGACAAAGGCAGGAATCCCGCCTCTTCCTGCTGCTTCCCGCCCACTCGGCAACTTCCCACCTACCCCGACTGTGCCGCCGGCCTTAAAGGTCGGGGACCCGACCATTTCTAGAAGTAATTAGGAGTTGGAAGAGGAGACTTCCTTACAGTGCCTGGAGGCCAGCCCGCGCCGTCCTGCGATGTACCCGTTATACCGCGGGTGTCCAGTCTCCTTAAGGGGCGGGGGAGGCGGAGGGGATCCAAGGTCAAAGAGGCTCCAGGGACAAAATATCGGTCAAATCGGGAATTTCCACCACCCGCTTCCTTGCCTTATCCTTATAAGTAAATACAACGTGACTAACTTCCCCGGTGGACAAATATTCTCTGGTTCGATTCCCAGCTTCTGGGAATCCGCAACCTTCCTGTTCTTAAAAAGCAGAATTTCTCCTCTAGACTAAATAAATGACGTTACCAAAACGCCTCATTCCCCAAATGTTTTTGCGTTTCCCACCACGAGGGCACAACTACACAGGCTGCTGTGGGGGAGTAACCTAAACCCTGCCATAAATGGGGGTGCTCCAAAGAACCTAAGTTTAGGTTTGTTGGTGTCAGAAAAGTCCAGGGGTGCCACTGACAATCAAAGGCACCTAATAACTGTACTACAGGATGGTCTGTTTTAAATGGAAAGAATAGTAAAAATGTTGCTCTCCATATCTGGTTCACATTCTAGGCCTACTGATGGATGACCTCTGTGCCAGAAGCTACGATCCCAGAGAAGAGATATTTGGGAGAGTGGGGGGCTCAAAAAAGTGAGTAAAACTATCCGTCAGGCCACAAATGTGGTAGCCTCCTCTGGTCCAGAGCTTGTCAGTCTCCATGCTATTGACACTTTGGGCTGGGTAATTCTTTGTTGTGGGGGCCTATTCCCTGCTTTGTAGGATGCCTCCACCCGCTAGCTGCCAATAGCCCCCCTCCTTCCCCATTGTAGCAATCAAAAGCTCTTTGAGGTGCCAAATGCCCAGATGGGGAGGGGGCAGAAGGCATTGGTTGAGAACCACTGCCCTGGTCTATATCTGCATGACAAAATGCAGACTAGGCTTATCATAATTTTGGGGTTTGGTTTTTTTTTTTTCATATGCTGGGGCCAGTCCAGGCTAAATTCATTATAGTAGTGGCCTTATTCTCTGTCTGCCAAGGACGGTGCAAAAACACAGTGGTGACTGACATCTCCTGATACTGTGGCAGCAGTCTGGAAGAATTCCTGCCTGCCATGAGCTTTTCTAAATATGGGCAATCTGTATTTTCATGATATCAGTTTATGTAAAAGCGACTTGATTTTTGAGACACACGAAAAGTCTGTCCTTCAAAATCTACTTTAGCTTTGCTGTTTGCATTGCTTATTTTTTCGTGCATAGGTTTATGTAGCATTTCTACTGAATGAAACTATGTCTGTGAACTTCACTGCCAACTTGGTTCTCAGCAAACCGTTATCCTTTTTCGCCTATCCTTGGGTTCTCCAAGACCTGACCTGTAGCTTTCTGACAGGCTCTTCTTGTCTCTAAACTGCATAGCCACGTCCTGTCACTTGAAGTTGGGCTTTCTTCTAACCTGAAAGTATTTCTGTCCACACACGTATTTGTGTTAGTATTTTACAGTAAGTCTGGAGATAATGTACATTTGATTTTGAATAACTCTGTATTTGTAATTAAGTATCAACATTTTAAAAAGCATTTTATTTCCCTTTAAACATTTCTTTAAACGGTTGACAAAATTGTAAATGTTAAAAAATTCTTTCCATTTATTTAGAGTGGTGCAAAAGAAAAAGTGTGGGTTTTGTAATCAAACAGACATGATTTCTACATTCAACTCTGCAACCTATTAGTTCTGTGAGCTTGTCCTAATACTTGACTTCTTTGCACACGTGTCTTTATCATTAAATGATCATACTACACACTCTAAGAGGATTAAATCATGCCGTCTGTAAAATGGGAAACATTTACCTGGCAGAGGGTAAATACTCAGTAGATGACAGTTGTTATGTTAAGCAAGGATATATTGATGTTCTTTTCTTTCCTTGAGAAAGAAATAGAAACTGTTTTGCTATTAATCTTGTGTGAAGGTTTTAGTTGTAAGAAGGTATTAAGTGTTTTCCAAAAACAATTGGCCTTCCAGAAGAAAGTAACTTGTGTGTTTGGGGAAAAGCGAGTAGGAGAAATTTGCCCTCATAAACAAGAATAAACCCTTAGCAATTCCACATGGTTCTAGTCTGTTTGACTCTTTCAACCTTTTAAAAGGCAAAATTGAAGGTTAAATGTGTCCAGCAGGATGTTTCTTTTTCCCAAAAAATGCACAAGAAATGTTATACTCGTAATAGCTCCTTCATTCTCTGGAACCCATTAACCAATTTCAAATCAAAGTCCTTTGTCAAGGTCACTGACCTAAGGCAAGGTGAACCAAGGTTGCCTTTCTTCATGACCTTGCACTCCAAGTTCAAATGTTTTAAATATTTTTAATATTTTTATTTAATACTACTTTTTCATAACAAAACCCTCAACTAGTTGAGTATGAATATAAACAAAGGGCTGCTTTATTTTATTTTAGGGCAAAGATACCTTCCTAGAAGTCGGCTAGTCTTTGGAGGAGAGGAATTTTGCAGTATATGTTAAATAAAGAAAAAATAAGTTCTCACCTTGCTAATCTACATAGTTTATAACACAAACAAGCAACTATTTATTCCACCTTATTTCTTAGCCAAGATTTAGCATCAGTGATGGGAATTAAAAATTATTCATAGTCAACCCTAATACTCTATGATGCATTTTCTTGCAGAGAAAAGAACAAGTTATATGTGCTTAAAATGTGAAAGGTAGATTAGAGTATTTTATTCTTGATATTTGTCATAGTTGCTTTAAAAAAAGTTGCTTTAAACTCCCACTTCCTTATAAATTGCATTATCCATAACCTTTTTTCTCTGATGATTACCGTTTCCCCTCAGCGCTGTCTTCTTTTACAGCCTTATTTTCATTTTCTTTTCTACTATAGCTTTCTAGCTTTTCTACCTCTGTGTATGCTTTCTTCTTACAGCAAAGTTTTTCTAGTTCTACTGGTATGAAAAACTTTTAACCTCCAACACAGCCTCTAAACCCTTAAATGACTCCAACACAGTCTTACCTCAACCCCTTAAATGACTTATTTCACTTTTTTCCCTTCTTCATTCGTATCCCCAACCACCAGCCAACATCTCCTCGGCCTTCCATGTTGCCTCTCAGTATCCATATTCTCTGCTCTGATTGCACTTGCTGTGGCTGATCTCCGGGGAATGGGTAGTTCTCCAACTCCTTACCAAGAATATTCATTCTCTCTGTGCTTTTCATCATTCCTTTGGCATTTTTAGTTATATTCCCTTACTCTTTAATTTCTTTGTTTCTACTGTTTCCTTCCTTTCAGATTATAAAAATGCAGTCTACCCCATATTAAAAAACAAAGCTGATGAAAACTTTCCGAACATTTGTAGTAGATATTCATGGTTGCCTCTACGGTATCCATTCCCAGGTTTTTGTTTGGATCCACGTTCAGTCAGGGAGGTACCTCCACAACCTGGGTTCAGGGGTGGAGCACTGGAACCAACCAAGGCCTGGATAGGGCGGAGGCAAGGAGGGTGTCATGTGACCTAAGTCCATCCAATAGTGTGCAACTGAACTCTGCTGGGTGTGCAGAGACAGAACTATGCTCACCTGTTTTGGAAGGTGCTATGTGCACATATGAGGCCTGGGGTTGTTACAGTAACTTGCTGTAGGCAGCCAGTCTGAGGATAATTCAACACAGAGAGGACAGAGAAGCGAAGCCAGAGCTCTGAACAAACTTCTCATGAAGTTTGTCTACCTGCTGATCTTTTCATTGGAAGCAAATGAATTCCCATTGTTGTTTTGAGATGGATTTTCTGTTACTTGCACTTAGGACTCCCAACTGACTATGGTGGTTTAACACTATGTCCATAGATTCTTTGATACTTCTCCCTTCATCAGGTGGACTGTAATTCCCCTCCCCTTGATCATGTGCCAAATTTGGTGACTTCCTTCTAGAAAATAAAGGGTATGATTCCAAGACTAAGTCATAAAAAGGATTATGATTGCCTCCTCTTTCCTCCCATCCACTTCTCTGTATGTGTGTCTCCCTCTCTTTTCTTGGATCACTTGCTCTGAGGAAGCCAGCCACCATGTCAGAAGGACACTCAAGTAGCGCATGGAGGGCCCACATGGTGAGAAACAGGCCTCTGGCCCCAGCACCACTGAAGCCTTCTGCCAGTGAAAACCAGAATGAGCTTAGCAGGAGATTCTACAGTCTGGTTAAGCCTTCAGATGACTGCAGTTCTGGATGACACTTTGACTGCAACCTCATGGGAGACCGCAGCATGAGGTTAAGCCTCTTGCTGTGGTTATCAGAGAGCTCTGAATTGCCAAACCAGTTGCCATTTTTCAGTCCTTACCCTACTTGACCTCATGGTTATGGGGCAATGTTAAATAAGTACATGACTGTGGGTACATGAACAGAATGGAGTTTTCTAAGAAAGGTTATATTTCTGAAGTTTGACACAAATGTTAATTCTGTCTTAAGATACTGTTCTGATTAGAAATGGGAATAAATTCTCAAAGCTACAACCACTAGAAAACTTATTTCTTCCCCCTAAAAACTAATATGAAAAACAGGGCAGCACTGGCTGGTGTGGCTCATTTGGTTGGATTATCATCCTTATACCCAAAGGTTGAGGGTTTGATTCCCAGTCAGGGCACATACCTAGGTTGCAAATTCAATCCCCACTTGGGATACATATGAGAGGTAGCCAATAAATGTTTCTCTCTCACACTGATGTTTCTCTCACTCTCTCTCTCCCTCCCTTCCTCTTTGTCTAAAATCAATAAACATATTTTTAAAAATTAAAAAAACAGAGCACACTAGAGGATATGTTATTAAATTTTTATTATCTCACTGGTGATAAGAAACACCAGGCACTGCCAAGAAAATAAAATGTATATATTCTAACTTCTACATAGAATTTTTTCTTGTTACAGATTATAGAAAAATAAATGCATATTTATCAACCAAATTTCAAGAAAAAAATTAGAATTTGCAATAAAGGCTTATCAACCAATTTTGATCATTTCCCCTGTTTAGGGAAAGACTAATTAGTCTAATTGGGGATTTCATAATTAGCATTTGGGTTGAACAAAGCTCCAGAGAAAAATGTCCTAAAAATTTCCACTTAAAACATTATGTATATAATGCTTCTCTAGGAAATGATCTAAGGAAGGTTAACAGGATTTTGGGAACAATGCACAATGCTGTAATTGACAAGCACTTAATTATTTATGGCATATGCCTGTCAGGGTTTTTGCGTAATCCTCATATATGGAATTAAATTCATTTGTAAAATGAACCTTTTCTTGTAAAAGAAAATAAAAACTGTCATTTCCTGAAGCTCTCACCTCATAAGAAAAGTGTTGAGCTATAGAAAAAAGGTTAGTACTTTAGAAAAAATAATAGCTCCTATAAATTCTATATTTATATATTTATAAGGACAGCTGACTTAGATTTTACTGTAAACATTATTGACTTACACTGTTCCAGAAAGATTATGGGAATACCTAATTCCCATTCCTAATTCTTAAATAATGTCATGTGCGAAAAGACTCACACATTTTGATTTATTTGTTCCTATGTTCAGTCCAATAGGAGACTTGGAGTGCTGCGGCAAACCACACTCCATTTACCTGTTAATGGCTGGACATGAGCTTAAATATGTGTGTTTGCATGGACTTGCAAAACCATCTGAGTCTTCTGTGAAAGGGCACTGGGCTACCCTGCTGCTCTGACTCTCCTGTGCAAATTCAGCTATGTAGTTATAAATGGAGACGAGCCAAAGTACACGCCATCGGCTGTTCTTCCAGCCAACAGCCTATATTGCAATCTAATAGCAATAACTATGGAATGTTCCTTGCATGTCAGACGTTATAGGAACACTTTTTTCCTGATTCAAACAAGAGCCTTAAGAGGTCATTTCTTTATCCATTTTACAGATGAGTAAAGCGAGACTCATAGAAATTGAGTAGCTTGTCCTGCAGCCACAAAGCTAAGTCGGTGGAAGAACGGGGATTCATATCCAGTCTGGATCCAGGCCTCACACTCTTTTTCATTATTGAGTGGGGTCTTTCATCTATGGCTCTTTTCGGTCATACTAGAGGAGCAAAAAAAGTACTTTTGCTTGATGGCCCTAAAGCCTACTAGCTCCCTAGGAAAGCCTTCAGTCCGGCAAACCAAATGTAAACCTTTGCAGCTGGGATTTCCATACCATAACTGACTGGAGTGAAGGCTTCCACAAGAACTGGCACCATGAACAAGCCCCCCGCATGTTCAACCAGGGGAGCAGGCCTGCGCTGGGGCCTTTGCTGGGGCGGTAGGGGAATAACAATGGAGGTAGATCTGAAGAAGCAAATACATTAAAAAAGCATCACTCTGACCATCCTCTTTGGGCGAAAGCCTGTTGGATGGTGGATGAACACATTATGCGACACAGAAACACCAAAGTTGCATTGGGGGCACCGACATTTTGTCCCATCTTTCACTGGGGCACAGCAATGGATAGATTCCTTGTACAAAGTGCAGATGAGGAGACACCCATGTGGTCTTGCGCCACCACCATCCATCTGAAGAAACGGGTGAGTTTTTTAACTTCTTTGAGCTTAACTTTCTGAAATCTAGCTGATCGGTAAGGTTCTGTGTAGCTCTAAAATTATGTGTTGTTATAGTCATGTATTTTTTTCGACATGGGAAGGTATTCACAGGTACTTACTCTGAGGCAAGCAAGGAAGCAAATGATGCTATGGAGCCAGGGTCAGTGTCTAACCCAGTGTGGCAGTTGTACAAGGGACTCCTCCGCTGCCCATGCCCGCCCACACAACATGTGTGACGCTGGAGCTGAGAGAGGACCTTCTACTTCAGCTCCCAGGAGGTCTGCCGTCCCTGACACTGGCTATCACCTCATGTTACTCATTTACCTTCCAAATCTGCCTCAGGGTATGTGTAGTATCTTCCATTAGAGCTTGGTGGAAACACAGTCAAATGTAGAACCCAGGCTGCAAAGAAGTCTTAGGAATGTTTAGCCTTCTAGCTGTGAAGGACAGGAAGCTTGTCAGAGCAGCAAGTGCGTGTAAAGTGAGCCCATTTGCAGTGTCTGCTACACTGTGTTACATTGCTGAGTGTAAAAAGTGTGCTTGGGGCGGGGGGAAGTATTCACACCATGGGTGCTTTTGTGTATGTGTATGAAATACTATTCAAAAATGTCTAAAAGGATATACACTAAAATGTTAGTAGTTTGCTTTGATCAGAAGTATAATTATATTCTTTTTGTTTCTCTGTATTGACCCATGTTTCTACCATGAATGAGCATTGCCTGTATAATTTCTTAAAAGTATGATGCTTATTGTTTCTGTTTCTGTGATTCTACATGACATAGAGATAAGTGTCTTATAGATATCTAACTTCAAGGTACAGGTGAGAGAATTAGACCTTGGAAATAACTTTGAAGGGAATGTAAATCATTATTCCAATTCAGATTATGTTATCAAATTGTAGATATTGGAAAGAATTTTTTACCAGCAACTTATAGGCAATATATGTAATAATGACAGGAAAGCAAAAGTGGGGTCTGAAGAAACATTATTACCTGGAGGGATTGGTTTCTTTTCTCCTCATTGTCTCTCATTGCTCATTTTAAAACAATGATAATTTTTCTTATGAAATGAGATCTGTGATATTATGTAGTTGTGTTAACAAGAAAAGATAACTTTGAACAACAAATCATTTGCACGCAGATCATAGAACTGTACAGACAGCAGTGGCAGATAGAATGAAAGGTGAGTCTGGAAAGGGAGGTGAGGGCTAGACCATCAGCATCTTTGAATGCTAACACAGAAATATGGGCTCAATTCAAAACTTGTCTCCTTTCGTTCCCTCAGTGGGTGCTGATTTTTTTTTATCATAAAATGTTAAAATATATTTGATCTGTTGCTTAAACTTGAAGCCTTATTCTGACCTTGAAATAGCTTAAGAGATTTCTAAATCAATAATTGTGATTTATAAAAACATTGCCTAAATAATTTGATTTATTTAGTGCCCCAGAGAATGCTGTGAACTGGTTGTGTTAGATTTCTACAGCACCTCAATTTGATCAATATAGTTAATTAATCTAGTTTTTAAAGGCACCTGCTATATGCAAGGTCCTTTGTTAGGCTTTGGGAGATATAGCATTTAAAGAGATGTCTGTTCTCAAATGGTTTACAGTTTATTTAAAAGAGCCACAGCCCTGCAATAAAGAGCATGATGTGAGACGCGTTATAAAACAGGAACACAGGAGCCCAGATGAGGAGCAGATACAAGGGTGTAAGAACAGGGAGTTTTCTCTGGAAGGTGTAGGAAGATAAGATACACTATCAAGCCGGGCATCGCTGCGGGCAACGGGAGTCCAGTCCCAAGGAAAACAGGGACGTGACGTGGATACAACCTCAGAGTCACTCCATTCAAGGAGCAAAGGAGCTGAGGTGCTTATATACTAATGTTACAGATCGCATGTTGTATCCCCCTCAAATTCCTATCTTGAAGCGTTAACCCCCAACATGAAGGTATTGGGAGACAGGGCCTTTGGGAGACAATTAGGTTTAGATGAGGTCACCAGGGTGGTGTCCTCACGATAGGATCAGTGCCCTCCTGAGAAGAGACGCCTCCGAGGAGCGTCCTCTCTCCCTCACGTAAGGGAGCACAGCAGGAAGACTGGAGCGCTGTCTGCAGCTGGGAAGAGAGCCTCCCGCGGGGCAGACGCAGCCCGCACAGTAGTTTTGGACTTCCTAACCTCCAAAACTATGAGAAGTAAATTTCTGTGGTTTAAACCACCCAGTCTGTGATGTTTTATTATGGCATCCTGAGCAGACTGAAACAACCAACTTCCATCCCTCTTGGAGCAGGAACTTTCCAACATCCTGGCCTGCCCACACACAGGCAGAGCAGCTTTCTCCAGGCTTGGAGGAGGCTCTCCACCAAAGCCATGCTGCTCCTGGCAGGTGGAAGTCCTCCTGTAAACACTAAAGATAAACCTGGAGCCATACAGGTGAGAATTACCAGCACCTTCAAGTAGGTTAATTCTGATGGGGGAGGGATGTGGAAGTCCTGATACTTCACGGAGGATGTAGTGCTTCACCTGAGCCTTGACGAGGTAAGAAGTTAACAGATACAGGCAGGGAAAACCATTCCAAATGCAGGAAATAAATAGTTGGAGCACAGACCTAGAGATAACTAATAATTTGGTACAATCTTATCTTATTTGTTCTCCTGTTGACATTATTTAATTCCTGTTTGAGGGTGTGGAAGGGGGGCGCGGGTGGGTACCAAATTACTTTATTTGAAAGAATGATATGAAAGAAATAATTTAAGTACATGTTTTGGTACAATTTATAGAAAAGATAAAGACAACCCCAACATGCACTGCCTTAATAACCAGGGGAGTCCCCCCCCTTGGCTCTGGGAAGCCAGCCTCAGGCTCAGCTTTCATCACCACTGTTTCCTAGAGGGTGCTTGTCCGAGAGCTACTGTGCTGTGGTCGCACAAGGCTGTGGTGGATTTCACCTGCTCATTCGTAATGAGTCTCGATGAAGTCACAGAAATAGGGGTGGTTTTTTCAGTGGCCACTTTGTGCAGTTAGTGTTAATTGTTTCTTTTATTGCTGCCTAGTATTTCATTGTGTCAACCTTTGCCTAGCCTTTCCTCTATTTTTAAATATCTAGGTCATTTTCAAACTTTATTATAAGGAATATTTACTTAATCAATAAAAATATATTCTACAATACAAAGATGAGCAAGACAGGTCAAATGCCTGTTCAAGTGGAGCTGCCACTTTGTTAGGAGATGTGGGCACGGCCACAGACCAGTCAGCCCGCAGTGGTTCTCAAGCCCCCACCCTTGGGACGATAGGAGGTGAATCAGGCCACTGCTGGGAGCTCCTTGCAGGCAGGGCACTGGCTTCCTTACAGCTAAAACCCCTGTCCCTGTCATGTCACCTGGCACTTGGTAGATGCTCGTGGAATTGGTTAAGTGGTGGAAGAAAATCCCTGAGCAGAGTGTGAAAGCACTTGAGTTCAGGTTCTTGTAAAAGAATCCCTGTGACCAGCAGCATATATTCCCCTCGACCACTTTCTGCACATCCTAAGACATGAAATTTATTTCTCAGATATTTTATTTTTTGAGGTCTTTACCTTAGAATGAAACATATTCCAGTTCCTTGAAATGTGGTCAGAAAAGGCCACACCTTCCTTGTTAACATTATAAACATGCAAAGAAAAGCTCCTTTTTAGAAATCTAGAAGCACACCTTATTTACTGTCTGAGTGCCTTCACCTCCTGTGGCTTCACGGACACGCTGCCCAGGCTGGGCTTTCTCCTGAATGACGTTTCAGTCAGCGATGGCCTGTGTGATGTCTCATCTCGCTAAATTTTGTCTCTCACTAAGACAGTTCATGGATCACTTTTAGGGTTTCTGGGAGCTCATCTGCCTATATCCAAGTCCCCACCAAATTTAGGAGACCACCTTTACAATTCATCCCGAAATGTCTGTTTTCTTGCCAAGACTGCCCCCACCCCATTTTAATGTCATCTCCACCTCCAATTCCTTTTTTGTCTTTTTATTTGTTTCCATTACCCAAATCAACAGCTGACATTTTTTCCCCAGGGCCATTTTTACAACTCAAACAAATGTATATTACCACGAAAGTCCTGCCTGGGGAGCAGCAGATTAGGAAACCACATCGTGGTGGGTGTTGTGGGCGGTGAGCTGGGCTCACTCATCAGCTGGGTGACTCCTCCCCAAGTTCCATCTCACTTTAGCAGAATCACGAATTAGTACAGAAATGGGATTTCTTCTACCTATTAGCTAACATGGAAAATGGTAAACTTACAAATGCCAACAGTCTGCTCCAGTGTTTTCCAAACTGTGTTTCAAGGAGTATTAGAGTTCCTTAAGTTGCTAATAGGTGTTTTGAAAACTAAAATGGTTCTGTGGTCAAATAAGTTTGGGAAACACTTCATATTTATATTCCTTTTGGAGGATTCATGAAACATATTACAAGTTCCTAATTCTATTTGATTATAAAAACCTTTCACAAAATACCTATTAACAACTCACAGAGCACTAATGTTCTAAGGAATATAATTTGGGAAAGCTTGGTTGACATGATTTTTATGGAGTTTATTTCCTGGATTTATCAGATAAGAGAGTATAGATAGCTTTTTAGTCCTTGTATGTGTCTCCAGTGAATCCAAACAACAATATATAAGGACTTATGATTGTGTTTCTATGACTGGCAGGTTTTGTCTTAAACTGTCAGTGTGGTTCACTGACACAGTTATTGCTGATTCGCAGATAAACATCGTCTGAGATATCCCTACTCAAAAAGTTTAACACAGTGGTTCTCAAAGTGTGGTCCCTGTGTCAGAGGCTTTGGCCTCATCTCAGAACTTATTAGGAATGCAAATTCTCAGGTCTTAAACTGACTTACTTAGAAATTCCAGGGGAGGGTCCAGGTATCTGTGTTTTAACAAGCCTGCCGGTTAATTTAGGGACACACTAAAGTTTGAGAACCACCTTTGAACCCAGTTTAAGATTTTTGCTTTCA